TGACATCCTCGAAAAAGAGGCATTAAAAGTGGTCTTTCAGCAGAACTCCCTTTGTGATTTCGTCTTTTGGGCGAATTTTTGTAGATGACGATTTCTGGTTTCGACGATACCTGCCATGGCAAGACAGACGAAAGTTCAGCACGAATTGATCAGAGCTGGAGAAAACAACTTGTTTAGATGAGGCTGATTGAAGAAATTCACACAAAATGAAACGAACGCCAAAACCAGTTTGACCTCTTCTCTAACCTGTCATTTGCACACTTTCTGTCCACCAATCCTATCTTCGCCAGTCAGGCCTACCAGTCAAGCCCCCTGGACGGTTCAACCGTCCGAAACCAATCATAAACACTTCTTCACCTCCTTCAAAGTGTTACATTGGCAGAACTCCTCGTCTGAAGCAACGCTTACCCCCATGATTGTGCCCACCCCACCTCAGCGTCACATTTTGCTACCACAGCAACAATCGAGCGCCAATAGAAGATCCCGATGCCTAGTTCTCCGAGGCCTAGAGGAGACAGTCTCTGATACAGTCTTGTCTGCTCATTTGCCCCACCACCATCATCCTCTCCTGCGTCTTCCTCATCCCTTCTATGCGTCATATCTACCACATAACGAAGCACGTCTTTGTCATGCTGCAAACCGTCTACACAACATTCTTACAGCTTCTATTGCATCTTCTCTTTTGTCATTTGGTACCATTTCAGGTACCTCGTAACTGCCGTTTTGGAGGCGGATCACAAACAACTCATCAACCTCGTCTCAAACGCCCAGAGTAGGTGAAGACTGACCTTGATGCGCTGATTGTCACCACACGTCAGGTTGCGTAAGGCGCCCACGGCATTTGTGAATATCTTCAGGTAGTCCGAGTAGAGCAGCTGGACGAGAGCGCTGAGGCCACCGTGAATCCTGAAGTGGAGGAGAAGAGGAAACAACAGCCTCTACAGTAGAGTTGCGAGAATGTACCAAAAAAAGATAGAAATGGTCAACATTGCAAGGGTGCCACTCTCCTCGCAGAAACGTCGAGGGTAGGCAAGCAAATGTCTTAGGGTTAGGAGAGCAATGAGCTTGGGATTCTTTGTATCCGCAGGTAAGGAAGCACGATTAAGTGGTGAAGAAGATTTCAAGCCGCGCATGAAGACTTTGAGAAAAAGAGACTCCGTGTCAGACATTGAGTTCCCTCATCGGCCATTTTCAAGAGAAACGAAAACGACAAGCAAATAGTCTTAAACTCAACTCTTAATGAATATGTTTCTTGACTAAGCTTGCTACTTGAATGAAAATTTCGGCTGCCTAGCAGTCTGATGCAAAGTATACGTGAAACCTTTTCATATCATTTTGGGGAAAAACTCTACTATCAGCCCCTGAACCGACAACCACGTCAAGCGACTTGAGCCGACTAAGCACACATTTCTCATTTATTTGTGTTTGATCAACTTA